TCCATCAACAACAAATGCAACCAAAGAAACCCAACAAAAACATAAACACCAAACCCCAAGTCCCCAGAAGTGACACTGTCTGAAGAATTGTACCTATCTCCAGGCAGTATAGGTAGAAAGAATTTCAAGAGGCACTTATTGGCTGGTTTGTACCTGGCAGTATGAGGAGCTCCTCCTGAAGTTTTTCTTTCTTTTAACACCCAGAATAACAGCTGAAGTTATAACAGCACTTTACTGAAACTTTGATAAGCACGACATTCCAGATGTTGAGCATCCACACATTCCAACACCCTCTGAAGTCTGGGGGTTTGGACAATAAGCTAGAAAGCGAATTGTGAAGATCTGTTAAACAGTTGCCAAATCAGGCTGGTGTTAGAACTGCAAGCAATATAGATCCCCTGAAGGTGGGCATAAAAGATAAAATGTGAGCAGTATAAATGGATTCAACCAACTACATTGATATAAGAGTACCTAGGGGACTTTTTTAAAATGACATTATCTAGAGAAGCCAAACTCTAGTTTGCATTAAGAAAATTTTGCTGGGGAGTCAAAAAAAAGATCGTCTCTGCATTGAGTGTAATGTTAGAAAAGCCAAACAGGCCAGCTCCTTACAAGACACTGCAAAAGAAAAACACGAGCACAAAATGTGAAATGAGTGATTTCCAATACTGTGTGCTACTAAATCCCTCAAAATACACCTGCCTATGTACGCACTGTTCTTTGAATGCGTGAATTTATGGCAATGAATAGATATATTCTTGTAAATGGATGAAAGAGTAACTCACAGAAACACTGATGGAGGAGATATGAACAGATTTCAGAGGGCACTGGATGCTGGCCAAGTGAAGGAGCTGCTTAGAAGCAGCACTCAGGCATCCACCAAGGCACTGCTGCAAGTCATGAAGACAGTGGCTAAAAGCAGATTGCCTGCAAACGTTCTGCTGTACTTTACTAGTTCTTACTACTTTAACAGTGGGCTGAAACAGACTCAAATAAGCAAAAATTGCAAGCAGTTCACTGATACAATTTCAAGGGATTCATAAGCTTTTACATATATAGTGTATGTTTTGTTGGACAATTTTGCTCACCAGTTCAAGACCCTGACAGTTTGAACATTAAGCTGTTCCCATGGCTGATACACACTTCCAAATTATAAAGTAGCACAGGAATTATCTGAAGACAGACACTTGCAGTAGTCTCAGCTCTCTTAGTGCTTGACAACTGACTTGTTAAGAGGAACAGAAAACAGCACATATGGGAGGTTAAAAGAAACAGTAGGAGTAAAATGACTGGTTAAATTACTACGATGACTTTCTTCAAGTTCCTTGAAAAGACAGGTGGCCATCATTGCAAACACAGGGATGGCTGAGAGTGTCACTTCAAATTCCTGTAGCTTTATGTAGGGAAGGGAAGGCACAGAGAGGACAGCATACACATTTATCCACTGTTTAAACTCCCCACTTGGCATCTGGTTTTGGCCAATATCCAAGATGGATCACCAAGCTAAATGAATCTTTAGCATGACCTTGTTCTGGCAGTCTGAGTTCATACAGATGTCTTTGTTTCCTTTAATCCTAAAACAACAGGGAGTATATTAGGGACAGATTTACCAGTGGCTATCCATCCTTGGAGAAAGTCAGGCATTTCTCTCATACCCTCAAGACTGCAGTGAAACCACCTGGACATAAAAAGAATTAAAATCTGAGCCTGATCCCATCCTACTAGTTTCACAATACTGATTCTTACACTGATTTAATTTCTACTGATTTAATTGAATTTATTTTCTTTCAACCTAGTTAATAGGTGAAATCCAAGTCCTTATTACTAAAACAGAACTCTAATCAATTTTATCATATAAGCCACAGAGTTCCTATAGAGTACCCTTCAGCTTAACTATGAAGAGCAAAAAAATCCTGCTTTATTTTTTTTAATGGTATAAAAACCAACTTTGTTAATTCAGTGAATGCCTACTCAGGCTCTGAAGAATTTGTAGCATTCACCCATAGACCTTTGTAGTGAACAACAAGTCCAATCATTCTGGTTGCATTATGCAAAGTTCCAGGAATTCTTTGACATGAAAGAACTTAGATACATTTTCTCTGTTATACGGAAATAGTATTTGATTTAAAGATATATCCCACAGAAGTCAGTCTTGGCAAATGTAGTTTAACTATAAACAAGCATTTTCACACTATTAAACCCGTTTTGTGACTATTTCATGACCAACTCAATTGGCTTCTTACCTCTGAATCACAAATTCTTTACATTAGTAAGTAGATAAACAACACTGTCAGAAGAAGGAGCTCCAACAAAAACTGTACCAGATTCTTCATTTTAGAAATGTAGTTTTGATTAAATAAATTATGATGAAGCAAGGAATAAAAATGAGTTTGTGTGAGAAACTGGCTATTCTTCGTCTCCCTAAACCTCAAGCAACACTTGCTGACAAAGAAAGAAATTGGTTTCACATTCCTTATATTAACTTATTTTATGAAACTTATCATTGTGAGGCTTTTAAAACTAACATGAGTACCTAAGTAATTTAGTGTTATCAAGTGTAATAATATATACAGTAATAAGAAATATCTAAGGATAATAAAGAATATCTAAGGATATAGGTGCTTCCAAATAAAGCTATTATTTGTTTTAATTGCAATTTAGCAATAAGGAAAGTAATGCCTCAGAGAGCTCTTTTACCAATAGCCATGTTACTTTCTAATGCTACAGCCTGACTCAACACCTATAAAACAACACACCATCTCCAAAGTCACTGAGGGATGGCTGCACACACAAGAATTTGAAGCATCTTAACTTCCTTTATATTCTTCCTAGAGAGAACATAAACACAACGATGTGTTTGGCTTTTGATAAAAATATGTGGGGAACACAAAGGAAAAACACAACAAGGAAACCGTCACAGAAAGTTCAACACATGCTGTTATTCCTCTCACCAGCTCAAACCACAGCAACACTAAATGCCATAGAACAGTTTCAAACCATGGGAAAGAGCTGGAAACTTTCTGTGGTGGCTCTCTTATACTGCTATACAAAGCTTTCTTAGTTTGGTATCTGTGAAACAATTACCCATCTGCTTCAGAACTGATTCTTCATAGTTGGTCCAGATTAACAACTGAAAAGAAACATCCTGAGAAATGGACCTAAACCAGCCTCAACACTGAGCTCCTGCAGAATGTAAATATCCCCAGTCTACAAGCAGAAAAAAACATACATTTGTGACTTGTAAAAACAAAAAAATATTAATGAGTGACTTCACCCTAAACATTTAGGTAGGTTTAAAAATTAAAACCAACTATCCTCTCTTTTTGAAATAAAGTAAATTTTAACACTTTCAGAACAACAGATACTATGCAACAGGTTTCAACTATTACTGTGCCTAGTTCCAAATACAGGACACAATAGAATTGAAGTTCTGCCCATTTTTCTTGTACTGTAAACAAATCCCTGCATGATAAATAGAAATGGAAGAGTGTGTGCACGTGGAAAAAGAACAAGAGTTCAATTGTCAAATTGAAATTACGTTGGCTTGTGGTTGTGTAAGCTGTGTCTCTTCAGCAGGGCTGCAGTAATGCCACAAGAATTTCTGCATGAATTCAGTCCTTTTTCTCCCCAAACTTATTTAATTAATTTATTTTATTAATTAAAGAAAGGCTTCTCAAAAGAGATTTCACATTCAATAAAATTCTAGGGCTCTTCCATCCTTCCCCAAGTTAAAAATATCCCATCACTAGAACTATTGTACATAACCTTAAATACCTTCTACTCTAAGTGAGATCATAGTTCCCTAAATGTAAGACCCTTTTCCCCATTAGATGGTTTTTCTTATTAACACTGTTCTAATTTATTTCATTCATTCTTTTTACATGCTAATGCTTAAAGCTTTGAGCAAATTCGGAAAAAGAAGAATGAAAACATTTTACAGAAATCTTTTACATTTGTGTCCTGACAGTGAGAGACAAGGAAGTCCCGTGTCTTGCTGCCAGAGGATGTAACACAGCCTTGCTGAAAACAGAATTGAGGGACTCAATTTTCTAAACTTGAGAGTACTAAGCAAAAAAAAGATGATTTTGACCTATTTCACAAAACAGTCTGTTTGGACTCATAGGAGTAAATTTATAGAAGAGACATCTGAGCCAGCTAAGGATTTCCCATAACAGACATTGAAACAATTTGGACTTCTCTTGGTGCTTCAAACCAGTAAGTAACAGGCACAAGTACCTTATTCATGCTTCTGTGTTAGTCTCCTCTTTTAATAACATCAACACCTTTTCCTATAGGTCTTTGGTCATTACTTTAATGTTTCCTGTAACCATTTACTGCAGTTCTTGAAAACAATTGGATTTTCATAAGTTACTTAGTTGCCCAAAGCTAGAGAAAAAAAAAAAAAAAGGCATCACAAAGCAGAGAAAACAGCCTTTAGTTTAGTCATTAGTCACTCTGAATGACTACAGTTTAGTCATTATTAGTTTAGTATAGTCATTCTGAATGACTATATTATCAAACCAACTGGGAACATAAAGGAAACAGCACAAAAGGATAGTCAATTAGTCCTTTCCTGTGTCAGTGCAGGATTGTATCTTACAACGTTATTGACAACTTTATGCATCCCGATTTTAGAATAAAACTTTTGGACTTCCTTGCTGTTGGAAATTAAAAATACATTTAAACATGCTAAGCAAAGAATTAATATAATTTCTGCTAGTTGCACCTCCAGTTAAATGACAAATCTCTTTCCTTGTTCAGAGGCAACAAACGCAATTATAAACTTTGTTTACTTTTCTGTTTTACTCTCCAGTCACAGTTCTCATCAGCATTAGGCATGTGTGTCTCTATCACTGGCTATTTTGCAGCAGACACATTGAGATGTAGAGGTAAAATTACAAAATTTTCTTTTCAAAGCAACAGCCCCTGATCTATTACAATAAACAAACTTCCATCTCTAAGCAACTGATCTCTTAGCAACAAGAAGCACCTGCATAAAAGATGCTACAGAGAGTGATCACCGGAAAACCTATTCAGATCTTTAAAAGGAGCACATCAGTAACAAGGATAGCACTCTCCACCGGTTAAAATCCAGAAGTAACAAGAAGACACAGGTAAATTTTCAATTCATATTATAGCATTTTTCTTCAAACAGTATGAGTGGGACAGTACATAAATGGTTTTTATTTTGCTTCTGAGTGGGAAGTGCACCTTCTGGAGCTGCTTTAATCTGAGTTACTGTAATTATCTTTGTGTAAATTACATGCTGTCACTATTTAAAGAGAGATTTATTTTTTTTAGTAGAAAATCTGCAGGTCTTCAGCCAAATTCTTGGTATTAAAACAATAGTAATATGTTATGTATTTTGTAAGTATTCTACGAAGTTTTATTTTAAGAAAAAATAGCACAATGTTCTTGCAGAATAGTCATCCTTAGAAAGTGTCCACTTCATTCAACCTTTCAAACTGTTTATATTACATTAAGAAATACTAAATCACTTTAGTTTTTATAGATACAAGCTCCCCTGATTAAAACCCCAAACTTATTCATTGGTTCTGTGGTCTCTGATTTAACTCTTTTGACTCTCAAAATTTTGTTGGTGTGTATCACAACAAAGTTAGGGTAGAATCCATATCACGGGATGGACACTGCCAGCTGCTGCTGTATAGTAATGTAGAACTGGTTGGAAAGTGAGTGAATTTGGACAAGCCAACATTTCCAAGCATCATTATCACAGCAGGGAAAAACTGGATTGTGAGTGAGGTCAAAAAAAGGTCATCATGTAAAACAAGTCTGGAACTGACTTGGAGAAGTTTTTTATTCTCTCATAGCTTGATCTCTCTCAGTGCTTGCTGTAGAAAAGTATTGTCTTTCTTTCAGCTACTGTATCTTAGTTAACAATTATTTCTGGTTAATGAAGTCATTTGCAGGAAGAATGGTTAGAGAGCAGTCATGCATTCCTCCTTAGTCTTAAGAATCCATTTACATACTTTGATAGAATAATTGATATTAAATATCTCACATAATACTTGAAAAAAATTAATTTATATTTCTTAGAGGGTCATCCCTTCTGAGTCAACTAAATTGTTGCTTCAATTGATCAAGGTATTTGCTAGCAATAAAAGTATAATAGCAGAGACATAATCCTGGTAGAGAGAGCTGCCTTTTACTTGATAAATCAGAAACAAAACCCCCTACCCAGTAGCAATAGAAACTGATAGCAGCCACATACAGAAAACTCTCCTCATACAGGTCTGCTTTGCCATGGTCACAACAAGGGTGTCTGATAAAAAGCAGATTAGAGAGAAATTTCTTTCCACAACTGGTTAGTTTTGAGTTAATTAGATCTTATGGTGTTCTAAGGAAACTTTGAGGTAGACAGGCAGTAAAATCCAGTCTTACCAATACTGCAGAAGTTTGCTCATCTCCACAGTTCTTTCTGAGGCTCACAAGCACTGACACACCTGTGCTGCTTCAGGAGATGGAATGTTTCAGATGAAACTCCTATACCATCTAACATAGATAATACTTTTCATGGACATTATGGTAGTTTCTAAGCAGCAATGAGACTTCTTGTGAAAGGCACTAAAACTGGCAAGTGATTTTTCCAAATCACACATCAACCACTATGTAAATCACAAAAAAAGAGGCAGTGCCTTTACTACAGTTATCCAAACAAATAGTAATATTCAAATGGAGTCTTACACTTATAGAAGATATTTTTGATGTATTTGTTTCCCTGGCAAAGAGTTTATTCTGCGTTGACCAGCAAAGTCGCACTCACATGATAGTAGAAGTGGTGCTAAGAAAACTAATTGACCAAACTGACTCCAGACAACAGGAGTGTCAATGTTTACAACAGTTCTGCAACTCCAAATTTCTCTGCACCTTGAAACTCACTGTACACTTGGAGGGGTGACAGGAAATCAAGTGTTTTGGACACTAAAGCAGATACAGTTGTAGCCACCACCAACACATAACAATGCAGCAGCACTTTGTAAGTGCTACTAAAGGCAGCTGACAGAATTTAAAAACTCAGAGAAGCATCCTCTAGGGATAGATCCTGGTCAGCTGAGAGACAAAGTAATGCTGTCAACAAGAAGGCTCACTAAAATGAAGAAAGCCACAATTCCAAATTAGCAGAGGCATCAAATGTAACAATCTTTCTTATCTCATGGTACAGACATTTTTTTCAACACCACAAAACAATGGCATGTTCTGCATTTTTGTTTCACTTGCCCTCTGACACAATATTAGGCTCCCACCTCCTCCTTCACTTGTCAAGAGCCCCTTTAGATTGCCAGGATAATCGTTACTAAATGCCCACTTCCAAGCTTCTGCTGAAAGCTGTCACCTCTTCCTTCCCTCCTCCTCCTCCTCCTCTTCTAACCTAAACAACAGATAAATTTGTAAGTACTATTTAGATTAGATTTCATAGTAATCAAGTGGTACAGGATTATTCCACAAGGCTATAATAACCATTCAACACTGCTAGAATACATTTCCATAGTAATTAGATGTGATAGAGCTCTACAACTACACAAATTCCAACCCACTGACTCCAACTCTAAAAATGGTTGAAAAAGAGATTTATTCCCTAATTTTCACATTTTACCATATTTATCTTTCCTTTGAGTTGCAGAAGATTGAGTTGAAAGTAGAAAATAGACCTAAACTATAAGCCAGAGTGCTTTCAGAAACAGAGTAATACAAACACCTAACTTTCAAAAGGCTGCTCTGCACACTGTGATTGCAAATGAACCCATATATAATGTGACAGATGCCACCTGGAGCAAAGGATAAGGTCACTAAAACACAGATTCAAAGCAAGTGAAAAATAATTAAGAAAAAAATATTACAAATCCAAGAAAAAAAAAAAACATCACAAGCATAATGCAATATCAGATAAGCAATAAATTGTGATGGAAAGCTCTCTGTGACATCCCCATTGCATGCTGAGAGAATTACAGCATTAGAAGAGACCACAGAATGCCAGGTAGCAAACAAACATGCAATCTGATGCTTACAGAGTAATTTTACTGCTCAGTTTATAAGGAATGGTAAGCACTCTTAAGTTTAGAAAAGGCTTCTGAGGTGTTCTCAACTTAAAACCCCACAGACTTTCAAGGCAAGACAATCATTCTATCAAGGATGTGATGTATGTTTTACACCTGATGATAATTATCCACTTCAAATTAATTCTTTGAAAGGAATGTAACCACACAAAAAAACCCATAGATTACTTGACTTTTTAAAGTTGTTCTTATAATAGATTCAATGCCAATGCAACAAATTTTGCAGTAGTTCCAGATATTCAACAGGTGGGAAAAGAATTTCTGACTTTGCAATAAAATCCACAATTTAAAGGCAACTTAAAAGTAATTGTATGAAACTCCTTCAACACGAGCTCTATGGAAGAGGTCTGACATGCAGCTAAGAACCAGACAGTTCTCATCCTGTGATAAATATTATAATCCCAATACAGCAAGATACTTATATGCCTAGAACTAATTAAACTCAACTAATTTTTCAAAGGTACTGTTTTCCTGTTAGTCTATATCAACATTGGCAAACACAAGGGGAGCAGATCTGTAAAACGAAACTGTTGGTGATGGTCCACTTTCTCCATGGTACACATTTCATGGGAGTTCAGTATAGATCTAAACAGGTTTTGTCATTTGAATCCCCATTAAAAGCTGGTGTGTATGAGCCCATCATCACACCATGAGCTACTTCCACCCAAAAATCCCCCAGTTTGTGTGCTCTGAAATTGCTCTGGGATACCTACTGAAGTGTGGGAATGGGGATAATCCGCAGGTTTGCTGTCAAAGCACACTACTGGTGCAAACAGAAACACCAGTGCAGACACCACGAGCCACTGCCCTCCTGGATTATTGCACCTTCAGGCAATAATCCCACCCACAGAACAAATACAAGAAAACCACTATTTTTTGCCTGGCCAGGCCTTCTAGTTGTGAAACCCACAACAAAATCCCTCTGCGTGCTTACATGTAGAAGGTTGAACTTTCACAGTCTGCATGAAACCATCAATCTCAAATGAGTGAAAGCAGGCAATATGTAGAATCAGCTTCTAGAAAGAGAGGAAAGGCTACAACATTTGATTGGGAAAATTAAAGAATTACTGCCAACATTTATTATTATTATTATTATTATTATTATTATTGTGTGAAATAAGTCTATTTATTTTCCAAACTGTTTAAACCTAGATCAGTTGCTCCAGATGCTGCTAATACTGGTCACTAATATTGGAGAATTTATAAAAAGGAGCAGATTTTTTTTTCCAGGCCTCTCCTGACAGATGAACCACTACAAAGGAAAGAACTCCAAGACATAAGAATGGCTCTTCAACAGTTGTATGATTTCCTCCTTCTCAAAATTATCAGAGATTTTCAGCTCCAATTCTATAATATGATTCTATAAATTTGCTCTTTTACTGACAGAGTCATTAACTACAAATCTCTAACTGGACTAAGAGGAGTCAATACATCTGTCCCCTAGATATATGGGCTTTTCTCTTTACTGTGGACCTTGTCATCATTCCTCATATCACCTTTAGCAATAACAGAACCTACATTCTTCTAGCATTTTATAGTCAAGACTTAAAAATCAGTAATCCAAAGGGCCCTCTGCTGGCAGATGGTTTCCCAGCTGTTGAGGTCCATGAGTACTATCAGGGCAGACAGGCAATCATCTATTTTGTCACTAAAGAACTTTCTTGTTATAAATCTCTTTTCCCACACTCAATAGTGGGATTTTAAAATCTTTTCTTTTTGCCCCATCCTTCTTCTACCATATAAGCAACAATCTGAATCAATAAATCCTTCTGATCTGACACACATCTCCACCCGCTGCAAGGAAAGGAAATGACCTATAGAAGATTTCAACACAAAATTAGCAAGAGTAGTGAAAACTTCTTTCCTGCACAATGGGCGCTCTACCTTTGCTCTGTTTCTAAACTTTTTCAGTCTGCTCAGTGGCTACTTATTATGAAAATTTATTTGGCTGAGTTTTTATTAGGAGTGACTCACCTCATGGACAATTCCTAAAAAATACAACGGGTACAAGTAGGACAAGCAGTTCAGTTGAAATACATTTAAATGAATTTTTCCTGATCCAATTTACTTCTGAAATAAATTAAAAAAAAAAAGCAGTCCAAATACAAACCCAGAAGTTCTGCTTGGATCATACTCACAAAAATGAAGCAAAGAAATTCTCAGTAGAGGAAGTGTAAACTGTTTGTTTTAAGACCTTGAGAAGCCACTTTGACTAAAAATAAGATTGTGTCAGATCATTTCAAGAGTATAAAAAGGAATAAAATTTAATTCATTGCCTTTAATTCTTTTATCTACATGAGAGCACAATCCAGGTTATAAAACTTATAAATGTAACAGCAAGGTGCACACTGAGGTATTGGACATGCCACAGAAAAAAGAAAAATTCTTTTACTAAAATGATGAAGTTGGGACAATCTAGAACCTAAAACTCAATCCATTCCTATCAGTATGTTTTGAAAAGACAGAAACCTGCCTCCATGTCTCTGTCAAAACAAAGATAAGCTTCAGCTGTGAATAACTAAAAACTGAGCAAGATCAAAACTCAGGGCTGATTTTCAGAAAATAAAAGGGGGAGTCTCATGCTTGCAAAGTACACCATGCAGACATATCAGGGCCTTGACCTCTGGCAGGGCTCCACCTACAGATATAATATTGACAGATGCACATTTGGAGGAATGAAATTGGTTTATTTCATAGCACCCAAATGCATAACCAACTACATACTTCTCTTCATAGGGAATAGGAGGCAGAGAAACTACTGTACACACAACAGACTCTTGGAGATGAAAAAAAAAAAACAAAACAAAAAACCAGTGCACATCAGAGCCTATCTGTGTCAATGGAGAACAAAGATGAAGGTGATCCAGAGAAAAAGCAAGAAAAAAGGCGAAACTGTACTCTAAATGTAGTTATTTCCTTCTATAATGCTGTAAGCTCGTAATAGGGAAAGAGACTGAAGCTGATAAAAGTATTTGCATACACATGCAGGCATGCTTTTTTTTTGTGCTAACAAACAGCATTCAAGGAAATCTAAACTAATAAACACCGCTACACGGTAAAAAATACTTTTGATTACAAAACCTTTTTTTCACAACATGCAAGACAGTATAACAGCTGCATATGTACAAGATGTACATGAACACACCCAGAAGAGAAGTAGTGCTATGTATTGGAATAGTATGATGTTTCTAAAAGGTCACCTGGTAGATTGGTAACTTTGGATCACAGCAATCCCAGGAACCTGGCACAGCAATCATCCCAAACACTGGAGCATGGCATTCACCTGCAGGTTTCAAGCCACTGCTTGCTCCCCTCCCCAGAGTTTTGCCTGTACTCAATACATTGCCTGCTTTGACTATAAACAGTCTCCTTACTCTCTAGAAAACATCTCTTCCATTCTTGGCTTAGTTTAATGTAATTGTAGCAGGGATGGTCACTGCAAAGCAAGTGTAATCTTTTCTGCAACATGAGACCAAAGCGCAAGACAAACAAGAAAGCACTTGCTGAAAGTAAACTGTATCAAAAAGCTTCTTGTTAAGTAAATATAATCCTTCAAGTTTGAAATGTAGTTGCAGAAAGAAACAAAACAAATCTGTTCTTGGCAGGGTAAACTTAAGAAGCTGTTTTATTAATAAAATACTAGGCATATGCAAGCAGTATCTTTCTGTTGTTACAAGTTCTCACTCACAGAATAACATCTTCCTTATCAGGTACAATCACCTCTTATATTTTTTGATTTAAGTCAAAAAGTTGCAAAATAACTTTGAATGAATCCTTCTACTCCCTCTATGTATAACAGACCTGTCCATTTTCTTGGATTTTCTTTCCTGTGCCAAGTGCTGGTTCCTGCTTGAGGAAAAATATAGTAACAGACAATCTATGATCCTGTTTGTTATGGCATATACTATATTTTCAAAGTACTTAGCAGATGAACCATGAAGAAATGCAATACATTACATTCAAAGGTTGACAAAAAAAACCCAAAAAAAAAAAAAAAAAAAAAAAAAAACCAAAAACAAAAAAAAACCCCCCCCAACATGTAATACATGTTTCAAACAAAAACCTGGGGTTTAACTGCATCATTAAAAACTACCATAGTTATTCTCTAAATTCAAGAACTCTGGCACTACAGGCCTACAAGAATGGAAACAGCTAAGTAACAGAGACAAAAACTCGCAACTGAACTCATTCAGTGCTTCCACATGTGCTGAAAGTTTAATTTCTTGTGTTTTGGTTAGAAATTTGAGAGGAGTGAACCTCAGTATTGGCCAGCCAAGTCAACATCAGAGATAAAAGGTCTGTCAGCCAAAGTATCCAAAACTATGCTTCAACATCAAGGTCAGCAAATCTTTGTTATTCCCAAGCAAAAAGAGTGTCTGCTGCATGTCTGCTTCGGCTGGTGATGAAGCCTGTCCTGGCAAGCAGTCCCAGCAGCCACTCTCATTATAAAATAAAGCTACATCAAGAGCTAATTTGCTCATTTTATAAGAACTACAAAGGGGTTGAGAGGTACCTACTAAAACTGAATACATCTGAGTGTTGACAACCTCTGCCTCTCTCCCCTCTCTCTCTGAAGCAAAGCAGAATCTCTTGGAAAAGATGGTCCTGGAAACTCTGAATCCAATGCACTACAACATCACCAGCCTTGTACAAGATACGATGCCAGTGGCCACAGTGCCCATACTCCTTCTCATGTGCTTTCTGTTTCTCATATGGAATCATGAAGAAACTTCATCAATACCAGGTAAATTAATTTTAGCTGCAGTGACACCTAAAAGCTGCCAGAGTAATTTTTGTTTGCTTCTCAAGTTTAAGTGGGAAAGTAATGGTGAATAATGATTGCATGACAACAAAATTTATTACATGCCAGTTTAAATAATACAAATTTTTAAAATAACTGATAAAAGAAATCAGGCTCATTCTAACCTCAGAGCCTCCATAATAACCCTGGCTTGGCCATATAAGTATATGACATTTAGTTTTCATCTTTATTGTGTGTATGCTAGAAAGATATAATAACATTTTACAAACTGTAGTTGTTCATATTTCATGTGCACTATAAATGACTTTTTACATGTTTTAAAGTTTAAATCTTTCTAAATTATTTTACTATAAAAACTATTATCTAGGAAATTATTCAGATTAGTAGATTATCATTTTTTTCTCCATGTTTAGCACTGAAGACCCTCCAGAACAGAACAACATCAAATGGCTTCCCTTTCCCTTCCATAATGTTTTGGGGGCTCATGGTAGAAATCACTGAATCAACTTATTTTTCATCAGATGTAATGCAATCACCTTCTGCATGAATGAGAACAGTGCACACATATGACAGGAATAACCCTAAACCAGATCAGTGACTTCTGAATCAAATTCTGAGAAAAGACCCTTAGCAAAGACCCTTCAAGGAGAAAGTATTCACAGAAGGTTGTACATTCTATCTGAATGTTTGATTCCACCTACAAGAAGATAGAACTAAGTAAATATGCTCTAAGTTTTCAGGTATTTAAATAATCTGGGGTCTTGCAATTCCTATTAGTAAAAGTTGAAACCATAAGCAACTTTTACAATTTTTAAACAGTGTACGAACTTTTGTAAGTACTTGAGGTTTTTTATGGAGTCAGATTCATATTTTACAGACCAAAGGGGCAAATATAGCTTTCCCTGAAGAAGGAGACTTCCTTTTAATGGTAATTAGGGACAAATTTTCTCTTGATGTCTCCACTTTGTCCTTTTTGTTGTAAGAGAGAAATCTGTTGCTGAATTGCAGTGGAATGATTCAGTTGAAAACTTTGTTGATAAAATGCTTATTAGTCCGTTCTTAGTTCCTACTTCAGCATGTTTACTTAAGTTCACAACAGTAAAGTACTCTTTCCTTTAAATATCTCTTTTCTCACTTTAGTTTAAGTGACTTTAAAAAAATATAACAACTACATTTAATTACACCAAAAAGACACTGACTTTTGTAGATGTTACTGTGACACTTCTAGACAAAATGCAGTCAAGATCACACAAGGGATTTGTTAAAATCACAAATTAATATATCACATGCATCTTTTCTAGATCATTTCTTCTTTCTAACTGTTGTCCCTCCAAAAGTATCTTTAAAAAGAGCAGCTAGAAGTTGTACAAGGAAGTAATGCCTGTCATTTGTGGTACACTGAAAGCACTCCAGACTTCCACGGGTGTTAAGGGAGGCTGCACCAATGTAGGTGCAAAGTTCCTCAGGCAGCTTCAGAACAGGGTTGTTTGTGTGAACTGCCCGATGCAGGCTGTGACTGCCACGCTAAAAAGCTCCTTTCCAAAGGGTGATGCTCAGGGATATTTTCTTGCCAGCTGAGACCAAACCTTTCTTACCGTGTTCCTTAGGGCCGGGATACTGCATGGGAATCGGCCCCCTCATTTCTCATGGGAGATTTCTCTGGATGGGAGTAGGTAATGCCTGCAACTACTACAATAAGACATATGGAGACTTTGTGAGAGTTTGGATCAGCGGTGAAGAAACATTTATAATTAGCAAGTAAATCCTCTACTTTCTATTCTTAATAACTTGAAAAGCTTTCTCATATTTTTGCAACCTCTTCAATACTTCTTTCTAAAGTTGAACTGATGTTATTATTTTCAAAATTTATCCTAACACAAACCTTTTACTTCCTGCTATTCACAGACTCTTTCCTAATCTTTTGTTTCTTTAACAACTCTGCTACTGAAGTTTTGGTGAATTCTCCTAAATTTTTTGTGGAAAGGAAGATTAAGCACTGTGGTTCAGTCCTAAAAATCATTTACTATTTTACTATTCAATTTAATATGAGGATTACATTCTGTTCAGGAACCTAGACTGACTGCAATGAGGGATTAAGTCAAATTTTAGTTTCCTGTGTTCCTTTTTCTCCTTAAAGTGGAAGTAATGCTTGAAGGTTATGGCTCCAATTCAACAATTTAATTAAGCAAATGCAGTTTTATGGGATTATGAGTAATTCAACTCCAATTAATGGGATTATTCATAGGCTTCAATTATACACAATATTAAACATAATGCTAAACTGTAGCCTATCATTTTATTAGCTCCAGTGGATGTTTGCTTTCTTCTTGGATCTTCTGGATGCTTATGAGTTATACTATGAAAAAGGAAAAAAAAGAGTGGTAAAATGTTTACCATGTGTAATCAATAAAGAATCACAACCTTTTTATCAGCAACCCTTACTCAGCTTCCACTGTGTAAAAGCTTTTGAAAGACCATCCAGCACAGAGAACTATCACAGAATTTGCCATGTGATGCAAGTCAGCTTTATCTGTATTTTAACCTCTGCAGAAAAAGTTAATCATGACAGGAAAACTATTTACATTCCTATCCTACATAGATATTGCAAATTGCAGTGAAATGTTTTGATAATGCTATGAGTGCTTTGAAAATAGTACAAATCCATATTCCTGCCTTTCACTGTCTGTGCTACCAATTCATCAGAAACAAACCAGGAGTGCTGACAAACAATGCCAGAGCTGCATCAGACTTTACAGTCAATACATCACTTTTCTACAGATATTTTTTGCTTAAAATCATTGACTGTACGTAGAAAACAAGTATTTAACTTTTTTTAAAGAATGTAGAATAAAAGTTTTCAGCGGATCATAAATTCACTGCAAAACTAAATATAACCTGAATTCTGTAAAAGTATACTCTTTTCACTAATGGCATCTGAATTTTTAGCATCAATTCTAATACTGAGATGTTAGTGCAGAGAGGGAAGGACTTGTAGTGTTGGTCAAAACACAAAATGCCTTTTGGGGGACTTCATTAAATAGTTTCTTGAGGAAAATCTGCTTATACAAGGCCACTTGATGAAACCCTCCCTTAAGACATTGTGATCCGTCTCCTGCGTAGAGACGTGTGGGATGGAAGGAAGCAAAATGAGCCTGCTGCACCTTTTCCTTCCTGGAGACAGCTGTTATAATTCAATAACATCTTCTCATGTTCAGGAAATTACATATGATATCCCCTGACATGCAAAAAACCTTTAAGGTTAACTTTGCCTCTGGGTCAGACAAAACTGTAGTGAAAACCCAGCACTGCTGCAGTCAATAGCAAAAGTCACATTTACTTTTCCCAAAGGAAAAAATATACCAAACCCATATAAGAAGTCTGGGATTTGGTCCATAGAGTATGATACCTGACAAAGAAAGTAGCACATCATTTCATTTCAATCTCTCTTCTGATTTTCTTTCTTTTTGTTGGATTTCGTTTTGTTGGGTTTTCATCACATCCCCGTTTCTGAAATGCTGGCTCCCTCTAAAGGAAATTGTATCTTAAAGCAACAATGCTGGTCACAACCTGTCTGCCAGCACCTGCAAATCAACCTTGCCAGCTGTAAAAAGAACTATACATATCATGGATTTCTCTCACATATCTATTTAAGAATATTTATCTCACACATATCTGCATACTATGATGCTGCATATTTAAGTGAACTGTGTACATTTATGCTTTCAGTATGTGTCTGGAAATGACCCAATAGCCACAAAAGTAAATACATTATTTAGTACACATCAAATATTTTACCTTCTCCTCTGACATGTCTGACTTTGGTCACTGCCCGAGTGTATCTTACATACCTACATATTTCTATGTACACACCCTATTCAGTTTAAAATCTTGGTATTTTAACTAAAAAATAGTTTTAAATCTGAACACAATACATTATTGTTCTAATATAAATTCTGAAGGTATTTGTCATCAAGATTTTTAACTAAGTAAAAGGAATATTTCTTGTTAAGCATTATACTTTCTGCTAAATTAAAAATGCAAGTCCACATTTCAGAGAAACTGTAAAATGTCAGAATAAAAATGCTGTGTACAATCCATGAAATGGTGGTTTTGTTTTGGGCTTTTTTCTCATCCTCTCCCAGATCCTCAAGTGTATTCCATGTAATGAAACACTGGCATTATGTGTCTCGATTTGGAAGCAAGCTTGGATTGCAGTGCATTGGCATGTATGAAAATGGGATCATATTTAATAACAACCCAGCACACTGGAAGGAAATTCGACCCTTTTTCACCAAAGGTAAATCAGTGTGTGCTGACACACTGCACCGCTCTAGCACAGTCAATCTTCTCTGAAATGCTGTTTCTCCCCGGGTTCAGCATGTCCCAGTGACATTACAGGGTGCCAGCAGGTTACTGCACAGGTACAAGGCTGTTTGAGAGCACCCAGGAGTTATAATTTGAGAAATCTCCACCATCCTCCCCACAAATCCCCAAGTTCTCTTCCCTGCTCAGTGTCATTGCAAGCAAATGAGATGGGACATCCACAGAGCCTGTGGTACAGATGAGGCTGTGGATACCCTCCCCATCAGAAAGGTTGCCTAAATTATGCCAAATATCTTTGCGTGATGTGGCACAAACCTGGCATAAAATGTGTGAGGTACAAAGTGGATGGATATAAGTAAAGTTCTGGCTTTGAGTTCATCACCATTTTAACTCAAATGCCTTCATTTTTCTTTCAGAGGATGATAAGCCAGTTAAGTTTCAGACTGATTTTATACCAGTCACTGACATGATAACGTTTGCCATTTTATTGACAGCACTGTCACCAACTGAGAAGTTACAAATAAGGTATTGTGAATTAACAATCATTTTGCACGTGTGTTTCAGCTCTGTCCGGCCCTGGTCTGGTTCGTATGATAGCGATTTGTGTGGAGTCCACAGTGGATCACCTGGACAAACTGGGGGAAGTGACAACTGAACTAGGAAATATCAACGTGTTGAACCTCATGAGACGGATCATGCTTGACACATCTAACAAACTTTTTCTTGGGATCCCTTTGGATGGTACTAAAAGCTTTATTTTTATGCCTTACGATGAATCTAAAGTGCTTGCCCAGGGAAAATTCACTGACATCACTCAGAAGTATTGTTTCAAAAAACAGAGCAAGAACAGGCTCTTATATCACCATATAATTAACTGAGAATGATTTATTATCGTTTTAGTTAGAAAAGGGAATTTTATATGACCAAAAATATACATTAGGTTGTCACATACACCTTAATGAATAGTACCATTTAAAGAGATTTTTATGCACTGAGTTGGTACAATCCCAATATTATCTGCATTAAAGAATCTGAAACCTTTCCACCAAACTAAATTATTGCCTTTAAAAGTTCACCTAAAGATTTATGTCTACTGCTATTTCTTCAGCCTCAAAGCCATATGAGAGGAATAATATTATCATGATGTCTAAGTTACCCCATTTCAATATTCTGCAAGCATTCTGCTCCTGCTCTCCTGTGGGAGATTATTTGGCTCTGGTTGACACACCAATATGTCCTTTTAGCTAGTTAGCAAGCATTTTCACAATGATCTATTATACCTTTTCTACAGTGTGCTACAAATATTACCTACCAGTTTTTTAATCAAATTCCCATGAACTTAGAGTAGGGAACAGGACCTTATTATTAATTCTTCTGAATTATTTGCGTTCCATGACTATTGACTTTTTTTTGTTAATGTTCATTTTCAGAAAATGCCATTGTACTGAAGATTCAGAATTACTTTGATGCTTGGCAAGCACTTTTATTAAAGCCTGACATATTTTTTAAGATTTCTTGGCTGTGCAAGAAATATGAAGATGCAGCGTAAGTATCGAAGTTTTACAAATCATTTACTTAAGACTCTTTCTTTCTTATGAAGGAGATATTCCTTGGTGCTTTCCTCTGCCTTTTAGAAACTACAAGATTGTTACTCAAGTCCCCTGTCCACAGAGCCAAGATAGAACAAGATTTGTCACAGATGCTACAAGCAGATGATCTCAGGGGACAATTTCAAGTGTTTGTCTGTTCAGTCCCAACTTATTCACCAAAATATTAGTTAATGCCAACTCAAATGTGAAACTCAGTTAAGATTACTGGTCCAGTTCAGACAAAGAAAAGCCATCATACGGGGTGAAGTTACATTTGCTGCCTAGTTGAGGACAGTCCAGTAGTAGGTTACAGCTCATCAAAACAAGAAAATCCATCCACACTCAGGGCACGGTCCCAGAAAGGCATTTATTGGTTCTCTCAACGTGTATATTTGAGTCAACAACTCACTTCTGAATTAAACCTCAGAGCTCAGCGTGATAAACCTTTTCAAGGGGTTTTTCCTTAATAAGGAAAAAGTACATTTTGTCATCTTGTTCTTGGCAATAATACAAAATGCCTCTTTTATTTTTATGATCTTGTTTGCTGTCTTTTGCCAAAAGAGGCCTGGCTCTAAAAAGAACTGGCAATCATTTTTTTTTCATTTTGGATTTGTATTCCACCTAATGAAAGAAATTGCTACTTAAGAAGTGTGTGTAATAAATTTTTTCAGTAGTGCTATATAACATAAAGGTTTTAATGGAAAGATGGAGGTTCCTCTAAAGTAATTGACAGTTCTTGTGAACTAGACACAAGATTTGCCTTCTCTAACATTTGCTTGCAAGGTTTATTATGGCACTGATTGCTGCTTTATCATGTAATGCAAATAATAGCCAAATGTTATGGCCCAGTTATTACTAGAAAGCCCCTGCAAGCAAATATTGATATTTCAAAAGCTATCCCATTAAAATGGATTTATTCATATATTTCTACTGCAAAGAAAAAAGATAAAGATTGCTGGACTTAAAGTAATGCAAAGAACCGCCACAGGATATGAAGACTTCTAATATTCTTCTGATAAATTTTGCAAAAAGGACCATTTGCTTTTCCTAATATATAAAAGATGTTATAAATACTGAGAACTTTACAGGGACTGAAGTTTTAAATGCATTTACCCCTGCAGACCCAGTCAAAATTTTGTAACAAATGCAAATTAAAGACTTTATTCAAAACCTTTCCAGAATACTTTTTTAAAAAGAATTGCCTTCAAATCTATATATCAAATATATATTATTATTACTACTTTGCAGAGAACCATATAACTATTCCTAGGAATACTTAATTTTTGCCATTTTTAGATGTTTTTCCTGGTATAATCTCTATGTTTCCGGTCATACCCTAGTGTTTACTAGAAGTCTGCAGATATTTGTCAATATGATTGATTTCATCTGTTTTCAGCAAGGATCTTAAAGGAGCAATGGAAACCTTAATAGAGCAGAAACGGCAAAAGCTTTCCACTGTTGAAAAGTTGGATGAACACATGGATTTTGCATCCCAGTTGATTTTTGCACAGGTATTGGAAGTGTACTCAAAATATCTCTGAAAATCAACTGATTTTTCTGACATTCTCCTGAATGCAGGTTTTGCAACTTAAACTTCATGTACCTCTCTGAAGGTCAGGTCATCATAAAAGGATGCCAATTAGTTGGTGCTGTGGAGTCCCTAACAATGATTTAAATATGAACACTTGTATTTTGGTATCAGGTGCTTGTTATATTTATTTCATGGCTTGAATAAGATCGTTAAAACTCTTACATCTATCCCTGAATGTCCTTCAGTCTTTCTCTAACCTTAGTGTTTTATCTTGATGTATTGCCTTTTGTTTGCAAAGCTTTCAAATACTATACAAATCCTGTCTTGCATAATCTCTGCCAGCTCACAAACTCGGTGAAGAAACGCAATAAACTAAGAAGAATCTGAGCTAAGAACAAACTCCTGCTTTTCTGTAAGATAACACACATCCATCAAAACATGAGTTTTCTATTTTTCTCTGAAAGATGAAAAACAAATGTTATTTAGCAGAAGATAGACTGTCAAGAATTTGTACAGTCTGCGGGACCTTCGTTGGCATCAGAGGTCAGCAATCAACATTTTCTCCAAAACTTCCATTTTTTTCAGAACAGAGGGGATCTGACTGCTGAGAATGTGAACCAGTGTGTGCTGGAGATGATGATTGCTGCTCCTGATACTCTGTCTGTGACTCTCTTCTTTATGCTAATACTGATTGCAGAGCACCCCACAGTGGAAGAGGAGATGATGAGAGAAATTGAAACTGTTGTGGGTAAGCAAGAGCTGCAAAGTCAGTGATGTAGGACTATAATTTTGCTTCTGCAGTGATCTAATTTCAATAATTCAAAGGCTGAAAATTTTAAGTGTTTTCTTCTAAGAGAAGCTGTAAAACACATGAGCTACCATTATATGTAAAAGATTTTATTCAAGATCAAATGAAAGAAGATGTGCAATTTGTAAAATAAATTAAAGTAGGAATCATCAGAATTGATAATCTGATAGAAAGAATGTGCTGTATTCTCTCCTCAGCAACAGCAGTGGAAATCAGCATTCACCTCATAACTTTCATTGAATTTGCTTTCCATTTACCTTGAAATAGCAAAAGGGGGCACTCAGTTCAAATACTTCCAATCACCAACATTTTTCTGTGATAAAATACAGAACTTCTCTAAGTTTCACTATGACTGTAGAAGGGAAAGACTAGAGAAAATTAAAATTATATTCTGCTGTCATCCATTTTGATCTCAAACTGGTCTTTTCAAAGTACTAATTACTAACTATTCAAAACACAATCAAGATATTCCAAATTTGTATTCTTTCCTTTCTCTAGGCTTCATTCAAAGCCTGACACTGAACTAATATAGAAACTAATTTCATCCACTCTTATTAGAGATTTACTTCTGGTCTGTTAAACACTAGAAAATGTATAACAAGTCCTTTACTCTTTTTCAAAGGTACTTTTAATAAACCTTATTTTATTGTCCTCATGAGAGTTGAATACTCAGCTTACTCATTTCCCCTATTTCTTTCTGATAGCCTAAGGCAGTAGAATGTTGTTGCCTTTTCCTTCAGCAGATGACCAACTGTGGGTAGCAAACTTTTATCTTGCAAACCTACTGAGCTGTACATCCAGCCAAACCCAATCACAGAGTGAAAATTTAAGGTCCCCACAAAGTTATCTCCCATCTCCAGACTATTCCCAGGTTCTGTTTGCTGTCAGCTGTTGGAAGATTTATTTGTGTCTTGTTGCTCCCTCATACAAAAGCCAGGGAAGGACTTTCAGAGTTCTGTTGCTGACAAGAAAGGAGAACAGAGAGTCAGTGTATTAACAAGAAGGTGAGAGATCATAAAATAAACTAGGGTTTGTGCTGATGAACATTATTCAGATTTCCTGGATAACTATGGCTACTTAAGACTCCTTAAAAGCTGTTGGATCTTTCCTACCATTTCAGAACTTGAGAATCTTCCAAAAATGTTCTGATATTTCTATAATGAAGCTATTACATTTATAACCAACTAACATCTTCACCATCTGCTTTATTCCTCAAGGTGACAGAGACATACAAAGTGAGGACATGCCAAACTTAAAAATCGTGGAGAACTTTATTTATGAGAGCATGAGATACCAGCCAGTTGTGGACTTGATCATGAGGAAAGCTTTACAAGATGATGTAATTGATGGATACCCTGTGAAAAAGGGGACAAATATTATCCTCAATATTGGCCGCATGCATAAGCTTGAATTCTTTCCAAAGCCAAATGAGTTTTCTCTTGAAAATTTTGAGAAAAATGTAAGTTTTCTACCTCATTTCTTATGGAACATTGGGTATTGTTTACTGTTAATGTCTCTTCCTCTTACTTTGATCAAGAACTTTGTGACCATAAGGCTGTTTTTCCTTTGTCTAAGTGTCTAGTTACCTATATATCCTGATTATTATTATTATTATTATTATCAGATCTAGGCAGATATTTTTCTATCAAAATGCCTTTTATATAAAAAGTAATTATAATATAGAAAGGAGTTTTTTCCAGACACAATAATTTTGAATAAAAATTTCTAATTAAACTTGCCAGGCACACATAGTTGCCTGACACTGGACAAAATAGACACAGACAGCAACTTCAGTTTCAAAGAAATAAATAGATGACCCACTTTGATACACCAAAAAAATGGACTTTTTAGTAAAAAACAGCTGAAGAAATAGTTAAGAAAACAAAGAAACAAGCCAGAAAAACACCTCTAAGTTTTACATATTTCCTATCAAAAAAGCCAAGTGTACCACGTATGCCACACAAAAATGAGCACCAATCAACCCGGTTAGCAGGTTTATTTTATTTTATTTATTGATTTATTTTATTTATTTATTGATTGATTTATTTTATTTATTTTATTACCCATAAAAAACTCTACTCAGTATTAAAAACAACAGCTCAAGAAAAAAAGTCTGTAGAAAATTCAAGAAGGGAGCAAGTGATGAAGTTTACTGAAATTATTATTCACTGTGAATGGATTCCATTTTGCCACCCATTATTTTCATTCTAAGTATTTCTATCAAAATGGATGTCTTGCTTATTTTATGAGTACATTTTGCTACTAAAAATATTTCCCCTTGACCAAATATTTAACCACACGTTTTCTATCTGACTTGATGCATTCTCTTTGCCACATAATTATTCTGGCAGGCTCAATTTTCCCACAGTTCTCCAAGTGAATAGCAATCCACAGCATTATTTATGATAAGATGCCATTGTTAGAATCTAAACATTTTTCCATTTTCCCAGGCTGTGCATTTGCCATTGTGCTGTACTGCCAGCTGCTGTACTTGCTCTGTATGATAAACACTTGTATTTATGTATCATTTTTCAAAAAGCACGGCTCAGTTTATTTGAAAAAAATTTAAACAGAAAACATTTTTCTCAGTCTGAGAATAAGGAGAAAAGGACACTTTTTTCCAGATGATTTAATATAAGCTAACCTTTTCTACTCTATTCTTAGGTTAAATAGGAAATCAGAACACAGCTTATATCTTACTTTTTAAAAAGGAAGTTACACAGATGAAGAAAAATAATTTATTTATAGCCAGACTTTCTTTTTAACGCATCTATTCAGTGTCAATAAAAGTAACAGAAACTGGCTGTGCATTCTTCAGTAGTTCTGTGAATCCTGCACTTCATATTTCAATTGATAGGACAGAAGACAATTTTATAAGTATTATCTCTGTATTAGATTTCAAATAAAATTTTTAACATTACATTTTATGAGAAATTAGTTCTTGGGAACATTACCTTTATAATGACAAATATAGTGGGTGTATGGCTTTATGATTATCTTGTGATTTTCTTTAGATAAGGCATCAGCCTGTATTTCAGATATTTATGAGCTTTATAATGAACATTCTCTGATAAACTTTTTAATGAATTTTAATGCATTTGAAGAGCAGGAGCTTCACTCCATTTCACAGCTTGGGCTTAAATCCCTGTAGTTCACAGGACAAACAGGCTGCAATACACAGGTAGACTTAAATTGTTTAACTGTGCAAACCCTGCTACCTGAGCATTTCAAACATTCCATACCCCTGTTGGTGTCTGTAGTTTGGCCTGACTTGGGTGGGAGGGCTGTCCAGTGTGAAACAAGTGATTGCTCCTAAAAAATTATTTCCACAAGTTTTTCAGAATATACCTACTACCAACCTCCATCATAATTTTGGCTACTTTTACGAAGAAAAACTTGTCTTAAATTTTATTCCTCTTGTTCTTCTGTGCAGGTCCCTTCACGCTATTTCCAACCCTTTGGATTCGGCCCCCGGAGCTGTGTGGGGAAGTTTATTGCCATGGTAATGATGAAAGCAATTCTGGTGACTCTTCTAAGGAGGTGCAGAGTACAGACAATGAAAGGAAGAGGCCTTAACAACATCCAGAAAAACAATGACTTATCCATGCACCCCATAGAAAGGCAGCCTCTGCTGGAGATGGTTTTCACACCAAGAAGAAACACAAACGAGAATCAGGGTGACTAAAATGGATCAGCATTAGTTACAGGGCTTTCTCAGCCACTGCCACTAAGAAATACTCATCATTCCTAGTTAAATACTTAGAGTAAAACATTTTGTTGCCCCTAAATGACTACAACGTTAGATGACAACTTGTTCTGCCTGTACAGCAGAACCACAAAAGTTCAAAAGATATGCATAATTCCTGACTACTTTTTAAAACCAGGTTCAAAGTTATGCCTTCCCTTTCAAACACTGCAAGTTCAGAGATTTGGGGTCAACAGAAGAACATGCCTGATGTAGGTTTAATTCTGGCACTACATGTGTCCTTTTCTCCCCCACCTCCCCAAAGCTTAGTGGTATTTGACTATGCCAAAAACTCCAATCATCTGTTTTTGAAAACAGCTGAATGAGTAAAATTAAAGTTAATTTTAAGACTAAGAAACACTTGAAAATATTTAGGACATACGTAAGTTACAAAAAAAATGTTTGAAGAAGAAAAACTCAAACATTTCTTCTTTACCATGTTTTCCTGTTATACCAAAGACTTACAGTGTCAGACAGATTTTACCAAAAGAAGTAATTTTCAGAGTACTGGGTAATAAGGGTAGCTGGGATAATTGCTCTATGTTTTTAAAACCCAGTGTCCTGCTGCAGAACATCTGAAACATCTTAGTAAGACCAGCTGAGAATGAGGTAATGAATATGAAACATTAACATGAGTGTTACATGGAGGGATAATGCTCACCCTCACCTCATCTGGTTAACTGTAGAAATCTCCCACCTCACTTCAGTTTAGTAAAGAATTTTAAATTCTCTCCAAGCTAAGTTGTACCAAATCCTTTCTGACTAGATTTGAGTTGCTCAATTCTACTTCAGACAGCAAGATTTGGAGTTGTTGCCCATGTTCCCACACCACAGTACGGGAGTGTGTCCCTCCCTAATTATCCAAATAGCCCCTGTTTCTTCTCCTGTAAGAGCACTGGGCTATATCCTGCTCTCAAGAATCTTGCTTTATGCCCACTGACATAGAGAGACTGAGCAGCATAAGAAGAAAAAAAACTGTCTGAAGAGGCAAATTTCGCTGGATAAACGCTCGCAGTTTTTTAGTGGCAAAGGAGAAAATTTCTGAAATAACAAGCAGATTTCTAGAGAACATTTTTAAAGGTGTTTTGCATACACAGGTTTTTGTTTTAATTATAAACTAGGCTTATGTTTATACTTAGTCCTTAACAGGAAAAAGCTAAAAAACTATCCAAGATGTCTCGTTCAACATTGACCTATCTTGAAATCTGTACAACCTGGGCATTGATATCTCTGCTTGCCTAATGATGAGTTAGTAGTTTGGTCAAGAAGAAAGATCTTCCTGGCTTAACAACAACACTCCTTGACAGAGACTTTGTTTTTTCATTAAACCTGAGTTTTCGTACTGTGTAACACAAAGAAAGGGATTTTCTGGATAAAGTGCCTTGATAAAGACAACCAACCAATGTACAATAGGATCTATATTAATCTTTTCCTTCCAAGTCATTTAAACTATAAAAAGAAGAAAAAAAAAAGGAGAAAAAAAGGAGAAAAATTGTTCACGTCTTTTACTTTGAAAATATAATTACAATTAATTACATTAATTAATCTATTCCTTCAGACCACTGATCTCAGATGCAGGTCCAGCAGAGGAAGATCTATCCAGTAGCATATAAAAACTGCATAAACCCAACAAATAATCATTTGTTCCAGCCCAGGGTAATGAATTAGGCTGATGGTCTAGGATGAGGAGAGGAGCTGCACGTTTAGATCAATTCTCAAAACAGTATGCAAATTTCCTAGAGTAATTTAAAAAAAATCAGACTTGAAAGCAGAATAATTTATTGCGGCCAGGTTACTTTTAAAGCTTCCTCCATAACATTTGCATTGTACTCAAAAGTGACAACTATGAAGTGCAATCCCATACCACCTGTACATACAGATGAAATTTGGCATTTGAAGACACATAGAAATAGGATTTAATGTCTAAACTCAATGGTCTTTTCCAGCCTAAGGGATTCTACAATTCTAGGATTACTATTTTTTAAGGCGTGAAGTGACACCGTGGTATGAATCTTTGGAATATCTAATGTAACCCCTATTTTTACATTCTTCGTATCCTTTAAACTAGGATATTGTTAGAGTAGCTGGGAGAAGAAAAAAAAACAACAAAAAACTCCAATCATGGTTAAATCCCATTCTTACTCGTTCTGTATTATAAAACACTCCAGGGTACTTCAGTGGACAAACATTTCTCATTTGTATGAGAACTCCAAAACCAAATCCACTGAAGGGAGTTTTTTTCCTTAGGATTAACTACTATTTTATACACAGGATGCATCTTTGCTTATTTCACCCACAAAAGCATTTTTGTAGTGATGATTTACTCTCTGATAT